CTACGGACTTCTTTGCAACACGAAGCAGACGAACAGTAAGTAATTAAGTGACACCGCCGCCTTCAATGATGGCTAACAACCAAAGAAGCAACAAGTGAACGAACGAAAATGCTGCTCTCAATGATGGCAAGTAAGTAATGTATATGTTTCAAAGCTTCTCTCCAATTTACATATCCAACAAACGCATTTTGTCATCATTGAGGGCGGCGCTTCAACTTAACTACTTGATGTGTCTTTGCTAGGGAAGAAAATACAAGGGGCTCAGACTCAGAGAAACAAATCAAAATTCACAGAAACAAACAAATAAAAACGAACCTATCGAAATAAACAAGGAAATAAAGGAGCCGACGAAATTCAGGGAAATATGCAGAGAAATTCAGAACCTTGAAAGAAGCCCGGGGATATGGGAAAGAAAAGAATTCGGGAAAATCAATATGGAAAACACTGACAATAAAGTAGCGGTTCGGGGAAATAAATCATGAATTTCCGGATATAAATGAACGATGCAAGAAACAAATAAGGAGCACAGGAAACAACAAGAATGCAAGGAAATAAACAGCGAAGTGAGCGCAATAGTCCAAATAGAGCATGCATGGAAATACATCATGAATTCAGGGCAGCGAGCAAGGAACTCGAAGCGCTCCAGCAGCTCAATAAGGAGCTCTGGGAAATGAATATGGGACTCAAGGAAATAAACAAGGCACCTGGGGACATAAATACGGGATTGAGGGACATAAATCAGAAACCCCGGCAACAAAAAGACGTTCAGGGTCAAGAACTCTGGGAAACAAAAAGAGGTTCAGGGAAATAACAAAGCGATGAAAATAGCTTCAAATTTCACCCGGATTCTTACCAATGAAAACGTGTCACCCGATAGTAGTTGCAGTTGCCGTACGCTGGTGCTGTGCACCACAATGCTAAAAAGCTTTCCCAGACCTAGTTTTTTAGATTGCACCAGGGCAGCGTAAAGCCGTTAAATCGTAAAGTTCAATTTTCTTCAAAAAAGCTCTTTGATGTTTTAAAAAAATCCCAACTTTACCACTTTATGATTTTATGATTTAATGATGCGATTTTCAATCTAAAATGTAAAACCAAAGGTAATTGAGAGAGGGCGGAATTTAAAATAGCCACGAACTTTTTCGCAAGACTAGGAAGGGTGTTTTGGGCTTGTTCCCGTTTCATCCTTTTCCAATGGATGCATATTTCAATCAGCAACATGACAAGAAGAATGTCAAGACTGTCTATATCCGTGTCAGGTCTAAAAAGCATGAAATCAAGCCCCCTCTTTAAAGTCATTTTCACCTTGGTTCGCGGCAATGCTTGGAAAGCAGGCACGTATGGAAACATGGATGTTGATAAACAGAACAAGATGGACGACAGGCAGCATCCATCAATCGATTTGCATGTGCTATCACCTTGGGACATGTCAAGAACCACCACTGGTTGCTTCTTGCGCTGGAAACCTTCATGACAGACATGCTCCCAAACTGCGGAATTTTGTTCATAGTCAATGACATGTTTGAAGCCAAGCGGTAGTGTTGAAAATGAAGCAAAATGTGGCTTCATCTATTGAAAATTCGACAGAAGCGCAACCAAAAATGGAAGCAGAAAATGGCATCAGGCATTCACCGGCAAGCAGCGCAAAGTCTACTCAATAGCCTTTGTTTTCTCATTGCTACGCTGCAGTCGCATACGCGCGGAGTTTAAGAAAACGTTGTCGTCGTCACTGCTGGCAGGCAATCGTGCCTTCAGATAAAGCAGCTTCCCTGAAATACTTTGAACAGAAAAACCGTAACCAGGAAAAACCTTGAAAGCACACTTCAACAAATGTTCTTTTTGATGGTGGGCGCCGTCACTTTTGTTCTTCAGCACTGATAAACCAGTTCAAATCGGCGTTCCTCAAGACCCCAAGATCAAAACCAGCGAAATACTTAGATAAAATTTTCATCCATTGGAAAAGGATGAAATGGGAACAAGCCCAAAACACCCTTCCTAGTCTTGCGAAAAAGTTCGTGGCTATTTTTAAATTCCGCCCTCTCTCAATTACCTTTGGTTTTACATTTTAGATTGAAAACCGCATCATTAAATCATAAAATCATAAAGTGGTAAAGTTGGGATTTTTTTAAAACATCAAAGAGCTTTTTTGAAGAAAATTGAACTTTACGATTTAAAGGCTTTACGCTGCCTCTGTGCAATCTAAAAAACTAGGTCTGGGAAAGCTTTTTAGCATTGTGGTGCACAGCACCAGCGTACGGCAACTGCAACTACTATCGGGTGACACGTTTTCATTGGTAAGAATCCGGGTGAAATTTGAAGCCGTTACCAGCTTCACGATATGTCCATGCAATGTAAATAAAAACATGGGCTACGGACTTCTTTGCAACACGAAGCAGACGAACAGTAAGTAATTAAGTGACACCGCCGCCTTCAATGATGGCTAACAACCAAAGAAGCAACAAGTGAACGAACGAAAATGCTGCTCTCAATGATGGCAAGTAAGTAATGTATATGTTTTCAAAGCTTCTCTCCAATTTACATATCCAACAAACGCATTTTGTCATCACTGAGGGCGGCGCTTCAACTTAACTACTTGATGTGTCTTTGCTAGGGAAGAAAATACAAGGGGCTCAGGCTCAGAGAAACAAATCAAAATTCACAGAAACAAACAAATAAAAACGAACCTATCGAAATAAACAAGGAAATAAAGGAGCCGACGAAATTCAGGGAAATATGCAGAGAAATTCAGAACCTTGAAAGAAGCCCGGGGATATGGGAAAGAAAAGAATTCGGGAAAATCAATATGGAAAACACTGACAATAAAGTAGCGGTTCGGGGAAATAAATCATGAATTTCCGGATATAAATGAACGATGCAAGAAACAAATAAGGAGCACAGGAAACAACAAGAATGCAAGGAAATAAACAGCGAAGTGAGCGCAATAGTCCAAATAGAGCATGCATGGAAATACATCATGAATTCAGGGCAGCGAGCAAGGAACTCGAAGCGCTCCAGCAGCTCAATAAGGAGCTCTGGGAAATGAATATGGGACTCAAGGAAATAAACAAGGCACCTGGGGACATAAATACGGGATTGAGGGACATAAATCAGAAACCCCGGAAACAAAAAGACGTTCAGGGTCAAGAACTCTGGGAAACAAAAAGAGGTTCAGGGAAATAACAAAGCGATGAAAATAACTTCAAATTTCACCCGGATTCTTACCAATGAAAACGTGTCACCCGATAGTAGCACGCTGCAGAAGCGCTCGGATCGCCCTTTGATGTTCGTCCAGGTCTTCCGGAGGAACCCTCCTGCGGACTTTCCTGTCTGGGAAGTTTCGTTCCCGCAGGTTGGTTTGCAAGGCATGTCCCGCTACATAAACTGCAGGTTGCTGGAATAAGACACGCTCTGCAAATCTGTGGAGATGCACTGTCCACTCAGCAAACATATGGCTGTGCGACAGTTGATTCCTGAGTCGCGCTTCCGTTTGATGGAGGCTCCCATTGGTATGCCACAATCGCAAAAGACTCTAGTTGGAAGGCCAATCAAGTGGGCACAGTGTGGCTGTTTCTTTCCACTTCTCGGGTGTGAGCCCTGCTTGAGAGGGAATGATAATTTCTAGAGTAGTGCTCGGTCCCAGTGGTTGGAGACCTCGCATCATGTATGATTCAACGAGCTCTGTTGTATATCCATGGATGAGCTCCTGGAAACATCCAGCCATTTGAAAGTCTTCATCCAAACCAAGACGAAAACCAGGCATGTTTTTGGCAGCAAATTTATCTGCCTGGTGCAACTGCTTTGCTCCCTCCACCAGAGTCTCGTCACAGGAACGTTCGGGCACGCGATGTTTCTTGTGGTTTCTGCGCATTCTCAGGAGCATTCTCGAGAAGTTAGGGAGCAATTTTGCTGGCCCAGCTGGCCGGGAACATGCCAGTAGGGCAGAGGCACCACTCGTAAGGTCTACTAGCTCAGTCATGCGTCGATGCGGCCGATCTGTGACCAGGACTTTAACGGCGCTCGACTTCTCAGAGCTCTCTCGGACCGAGCCAATGAGTTCAGACAGGATGGACCGAAACAAGTACGTGGCATACAGCAAGCATTCAGTTTCTGGAATCACCATGAATTCAGCCAATCTCATCAACGAGCTCATCGCCTGGGCGAGCTTCTCTGCCATTTTTTTTCCCGTCCAACGCCATGTGGCTTCCGCCAGGTCGTTCAACAGCTATCCAAGCCTGTTGCAAATAAGATTAATTATTGAATTCACGCAGGGGCCGATGCTGTAGTGGCCGCAAAAGTAAACTGGAAGAGGACCGACATACAGAGGAGGTCCCGAGGTGAGACCCCTAAAATTGGCCTAAAATACGGACCCACTTTTAAAGGCCAAAACCAACCTCCAAAAATGCTCTCTTAGAAGAAACCAAACACCCACCGTGCCCAAGGCAAGGCCTCCGCCTTCGACTTAGCTTTGGCGGCAGCTTTAGCTTTCGGCAGCATGATCGCAACTGGTGCCAAAAGTTCGACTTGAGCCAAGGTAAGCACTGCCGTTTCATAATGCCTGGATGGGAACACTTTGAAATCACAGAGCTCGGACATTGGAAAAAACAAGTTTGGCCGACAATCTGAGAGACTGGCGACCGGAGCCATCCACGAAGAACCTGAACCATGGAACAGTTACTGCAAACTGGTCAGCAAACGAACGCCAAACACTGACACACAAAGCCAGGCTAGCTTCAGTCACCTGTTCAATTGAAACCGGTCACAGGCTGAAAGTAAACGCAAACAACTCCTTTTGAGGATGGGACGTGTCATCGCAGGCCTCAACACGTATACAAGCTTAGCAAAGCCACATGAAGGACAAACACTACAGATTCAAACAAAGTTGCAATGATGCAGGACTGCCTTCCTATCGTATCACATGTGTCTGCATAGCCAAACTCATCTGACAAAAGGAAAGCCAAAACCATCAAAACCAACGCAGGTCAAAAATTTGAACTCACATCTTTTTAGCTGGCGCCAAAGTCAAGAACACGCGCAGGCGAACCAATCCAACGCCTTTTGCGGCGGCCGTCCTCGGAGCCATTCCAGACATCAGCAGCTGGAGTCGGTAGGCTTGGCTGACGGTAAACAGGGGCCTCCAGCCAGAGCAACTGCACCTTGTTTCGGTTTTGCAACCAGTGGTCAGACTTCAAAGCCGTCAGGTTGGATGCCCCCAAGTCAAATGTTGCAACCACTGCCCTGGAACAAAAGGAGTACTTGTAGCTGTAAACATTGGTGGCCGATCGGGCACCCTTGACAATTTTGGGGCGCCCCTGCAAAACCTCTCGATTCCGCTTGAGAAAGTAAGCATCACCAACTCCATCCAATATGACTCCAGTGTGCTGGCCTCTGTCAAAGTCAGCTAAGTCCATCTGCTCGCTGTCTTCCACTGTGATCTCCAAAAAGCTTGGCAAGTTCAAACAGCCCGCAATGCGTTTGAGTATGTCCACTGCAAGCATGGACTTCCCCAGGCGAGTGCCGCCAACAATGGCAAGGATTGGTCTGCGGAAGCGTGCTGCGCCGTCATGGCAGGCAATGAACTCCTGGACAGTTGCTTCGCTTAAACATTGCACACCCCCACCAAAACCCTGCTATCTGCTATCTTTCATCCGTTTAAACACCCCAGCCTCCACCACATCAAAGGTCTTCATGGGCAAAATGGCTTGTTGCAGTTCACCTGTGGCAGCATCCACTGCTTCCTGCACTCGCAAGTCATGCTCAAACCTTTCCGCGGCGCGGCAATCTGCCAAACGCTTCTGGAAACCCACTGTCACCTGGGCCGCCAAACGCAAATAGACATGCCGCTCAAGCTTCCCGGCCTTCAGCAAGTTGTCCAACCACCATCCTTCCACGCCATAAGCTTGGAAAGGTGGCCAATCACTGAAGTTGAACCTGCAAGTCCAGCTGTCGCCCATTCTCATAATCTGGAAATGTCACACTTCTGCCCGTCTATTAGGAACTTTGGGGTCCACAAAACTGCATTTCTGTACCCAAACCTGCTAGGCTCTGATGCATTTGAGGTTTTCTGAGGTTTTTTGAGGTTTTGCTTGCGACTCCCGTTTCCAATACGTTTTGAGGTTCTCAATCGATTGATGAGGTTTTTTGAGGTTCTGGTTTTGAAGCCTTCTGCCATACTATTTCCGGTTTTGAGGTTGGTTGGGGACTCGGGCCGCTATAATACTATTCTCAAGGTAACCCAATGTCCGCGGCCATTTACAACCAACCAATGACCCCACGCAAACCCTTTAGAATTTTAGTCCGGCACTTTTCCCAAGTCACTGCCAAGAAGCAAGGAGCCTTTCTTGTCACAAACCACGTAGAAGTGGCCAAACCGCACAGCACCAATGTAGGCCTTCCCAGATGCCCTGTTGGGCTCCACGTGAGGCGATGAGCCTTCAAACTTGAACATGTCCAAGGCGTCAGCCCCACGACGGTGGAATGGCTTGGACAGATGCAAGTAGGCATGCAAATGAACTCGCTCAGGTGATGCCCGCTCCATGGTGGCAGAGACGCCAATCACAGACAAAGATGCTCGCAAAGAAGCCAAAAAGACTTTGAACCGTTCAAACAAAGCTTCAAGTTCTACGAAGTCCTGGGACACAAACGCAGCTGCTGAAGAATTGTACGTCAACTGCACGGCTTGAAATTTGTAGGTTGTTGGACTTGCCAAAGGCTGCGGAGGACCCTCCGGGTTTGGCACTGCTGCTTCAAAAGTCGCTTGGTACTTTTGCATGCTATTGTTCACTGCCTCCACATCGGCAGGAAGAAGGTCACGGGCCAGGACATCTGCTGCAAGCGATTCCACTTTGGCTCGGGCAGCATTGTCAGCGACTGGTTGCAGGCCACACTTGCGTGCGACACGGTTCAACACTCTCACACACAGCGCCCTCTCCGGGCGCCGACCTTGGGTCATTGCTGGGGTACGTATTGTTTGGGCTACGCAAAATGAGCCAGAAACCTGCCGCAATGCGGCAATGCTTTGCTCGGAAAAACGGCAAATGAGTCTCGCTCCTTTCCCTCTCTCTTCTGCGCTGTTTCTTTCTCTCTCGCTTTCTTTCTGTGTCTTTTTTGCTTGTCGTCGCTGAGCTCAGGGCAGACGAGCCGGATCGTTGAAGTCCATGAAACCTCGGTAGGGCAACTGTCACGCTGGAAAAATGCGCTAACAAACCTAGACCTGGGCAACTCAAAGACAAAAAGATGTTTCAAATTCAGTCTGTGCATCAATTCCATGACCGTCATGACAATGTCTCACTGCACAAGCTGCTTGCTCCTAGCCTAAAGAAGCTTTTACCAGACTTGTGGAAAACTGATGAGATCCAGACCCTGGCAACTCGCTTTCCTCAATCACGCTCTCGCTCTGATAAAGCAGCCGTGAAATCCCTGTGTATTCCATAGGGTGAGTTGCGCACAGGTTTTGGTAGCATACAAGATCAGCGTGCACGACCCCAAGTTTAGAAGTCCAACTTCCGACAATATGGAAAAATGCTGTTGATCAGCCAGTCAAGAGATAGAGAGTCAAGAAATGCGCATGTGCGCATTTTCAGGGCAGACCTGCACCGGGGAACAAAAAGTGACAATTCACTACAAAAAGCTGTTACAGGATCTGCCAAGACACCAAAAATCCATCGCTACAAAATGCTACGCTGTTCTTTATGTGATGAGTACGTGAGCGACGAAGCGTAGGAAGGGAGGAAATGAGGAGCGCCAAAACCAATGGTTAAACGGGAACCCAAAAGAAATCCATCCAATGAAAATGAAAAATCCAAACACAGAGCCAGACCATCGAATCAATGGAGATGAGTGTGAAATCTGAAAATCACTGACCACAAAGGATAACAGCACGACAAATAACAATGAACCAGTTTCGTACAATCTGCAAGTTCAAGAAAGATACATCGAAGAGACAACCAAGTCAAAGCTGAAAACGACTAACATCCAAATCTGTACCGCCATCCAATGAGCAACATCTCAGCCACCCACCCATGGCATTGAACACCGGCCTCAGGAAGACTGGCACAAAATAACTCCACGATGACGCTCGTCCACCGTTCCGAGTACACCAAACAAGACATGCACACTGGCCCTGCTCTTCAGCGCAAATTCCTCAAAAAGCTGGTAGAAAGGTGGTCAAAAAAACGGCTGGCCGATTCCAAACCAGCTTTTGTCCATTGTTGGTTTGAAAGACATGTTGTAAAACATCACAAACTCTGCTGTCTTCGCTCACCTACTCACACACAGCCCTTCTTTTGCTGTTTACACCACTGCCTCTGCACAGCTCAGCAAACAAGAACGCGGTTCCAAGACCGCGAGCATGCCAAGGGCAGCTTGCAATCTGTGCCACCGCAACTGTAGCTTCCTATCTGCTGCAGACTATATCACTGGCTTACCTGGACGACCTCTACGCTATCCACTTGTCAGAAATGAATCTTGAAACAACAGAGATCAACCACCAAAGCCATTCAACCTGAGCCAGATGTTCCTCACTCGGCCTTTTCCCCAGGGCCTTGACCTGCAAGGCCACGATATGAAAAGCAAGAACGTGGGTGAAAATGCAGAATGGAAGGGCTGTCAGCGGGGAATTCAAAATGAAACAAGACCGAGGCTTCTACTTCATCTTCCAGTAATGCATTAGCCGCAACCAGTCCTAAAAGACAGCCGGTCAACCACCTGGCCTGCAAGTCCACGCACGTCTTGGCCTTCCTGCACCTACAGCAACAAAGGTAATCAAAGTTACATGTGATCATCTGAAGCTTTCCCTCCGCAATACGTGAATCTACCCAGCCTGGTCTGGCACAGGCACCGGAGGAGCCGCCTGAGTCAGCACAGACGGCACAATGCATAGCAAGGCTTCTGAGCTTCTCTGGCCTCTTTCGCTTCGATCAACAACTTCAAATCTTCTTTTGACAGCATCTTGGCTGCCTCACATACCACCAACCCATCAGCCTTGGACGAGTTACCTGACACCAGATACCTTGGAATCTTAGAAGCAAATTCTGAGACAGCGCAACTCCAAAAAATGGAACAACAACACATCAGACAACCAAACTACGTATCTCAAACTTGATACATCAGTGTACACACACCAAGGGGGGACACGAAGAACCTGACAATAAGCAATATAGGGTTAAACGTTGCACTGTTTGCACAAAAGATCGCTCTCGCCGTGAACTGAAAGCTTTCACCTTCAGAAGTTTGCGCAGCGCCTTGACCAAACGGTTCTTGCGCTTGGTTGCATTCCTTGCTTCTTTGCGATTCTGCCGCATGGCTTTGCGCAGGTCAGCCTGCTGGCCCTTGAGTTTTTGCAACTCATCTTTCAAGACTTCCTGGCCGGTAATGCGGACCCCAAAATGGAGCCCATTTTGGACTCACAATTCTGAAGCCCCCAAGCAGGGCCTCCCCGGTACGTGCTTCGTGCGCAACCAACAAACCCATCTTTTCAAGACGCGTCTAAGGTCAGTCTAACGTGCGGACTGCATGCGGGTTCCACTGTATGTACTTAGCTGCGTTGCCTTGCCAGTTCACAGGGAAAAGAAATTGATCCAAAGCGCCAGTCAGAAGTGCCGAAGGCACAAGCGGAACGTGAGCCCAGCCAAGCTTGCGGAGCAAAGCAGATGAAGCTTTCTGCTGGCGATCGAAAATTCCATTGCTGTCAAACGCATGCCGCCATGGCTTGGAAGCAAGCTTTGCGATAGCCATGGCAACAATTTCCAGCCAGATTTCCAAAGTGACTTGTCCTGCCAGGGCCGTGGCCTTTCTTTGCCTCCATGTCTCTTGCAAATCATGTTCGAACGCTGCAAAAACGTGACTGTCACAAGGCTGCAGCAAAGAAGTCATCCCTGGAGGAATATATAGAAAACGCAAGCCCAAAGTGTAGGCCAAGTCAAACAAGGAGTCATGCAGGTGACATGGTGCCAAATCTAAAAGCAAGTAAACTTGACGGGTTTCCAGGATTGGTCCAAGTCTGTCACCAAGACAACGCAGATATTTGGCCATCAAGCGCTGCGTGTTCCAAGCAGATTTCTCTCTCCAAACCACTAAATGGGGAAAAAGCTCTGCTGCCTGCTGCACAAATGCAGTTGTGAAGCAACGGGTGTTTCCAAGAAGCACCTGGGGCAAGAGCTGCTGAACTTCTGGATCGTGCGTCACAGCACAAATGTATGTTGCCCTTGCTTTCGCGGTCGTGGATTTGACTTTGTCTGTAGCCTCACGGTCCGAAACCGTGCCAAACAAACCGCTCCAGTGAAAGCCAATGCTGGACTCATCCAAATTGATGACCAAAGGTTCTCGGCTTGCTTCACGCAAAGCGAAGTTGCACCACTGCCAAAAAGCCAACGCCTGAGAAGCCAAAAATTGACCCGAAAATGGCCCCCATTTTGGCGTCCATTTTTTGGACCCTAAAATTGCGGCCGCTTCCATATTAAAATAGGATTCTTTTCATTTTGGATCGGCGGCTGCCATTTCGGGGTCCATTTTCTGGACCCTAAAACCGGGTCCGCTTTCTGGCCAAAATTGCAGCACATCATCTGGCTTTAAGCGGCCCAAAAAAACAGCCACCTTGCACTAAACCCAAGACCCAAATCCTAAATTCTCAGCCCGTGCAGAAAAACCACAAACATTGCAGGTTGACAGTCACTTATCAAACTTTGTTTCATGTATTGCGGACACGTGCAAGAAGTTGCGGGGCATTAACAAAACAAAATTGTCTAAAGGTCCCATGACCCATCCCAACCTTGGACTGCTTCTCCTGCAACGGCATTGGCGGACTGGTTCGGAGTCTGCCAAGCTTGCACCCGAACCGCTTTCTGAATGCACTGAAATACTTCCGCTGGCTTCGCGCTGTGGCCAAGGGACGGAGCAGTCGGGCGCTCAACTCCCCAGGCAAATTTTCAGGCATCAGTTCACGTAAACGTTCACATAGCATGCGCCGTGAAGGGGCGACGCCAAATTCATGGTTCATTTTCCGCACCCACTCGCGCAGCTGAAACAAAAGTAAGAAACTGAATGCTGGCAACAATGCACACCTCGGAAGCTGGCTGGAAGGATCCAACATGATCCGAACCTTGTGTTCTAAGGGTGCTTTGATGTAGCACCATTCTACATGCGCCACAGCGCTGTCCAATGATGAGAAAGAGTCCGACATGGAAAGGTGAAAATGAGCAGCAACATCTGCACGATGTCCGGAAAAAATGAAGAGAACCAGGGATTGCTTGTCAACTTTGTCCGCACGAACTTTCTTTCTCTTGGCGGCCCGTCGGAGGCGCCTTTGCAAGTTGGCTATCTTCCTCTGCAGTTCAGCTAATTCGTCGGACATGCTACCGAAAAGAAGAACTGCAGACGCCTACCACAAGAGTCTGAGCCAAGAAACAGTATGCCAGTTTGAAGACAACCGTAAAGCGGCCAAACTTGTACAGTAGCCGTAAACTGTCTATGGCCATCCTACTGGCATACAGAGGAGGTCCCGAGGTGAGACCCCTAAAATTGGCCTAAAATACGGACCCACTTTTAAAGGCCAAAACCAACCTCCAAAAATGCTCTCTTAGAAGAAACCAAACACCCACCGTGCCCAAGGCAAGGCCTCCGCCTTCGACTTAGCTTTGGCGGCAGCTTTAGCTTTCGGCGGCATGATCGCAACTGGTGCCAAAAGTTCGACTTGAGCCAAGGTAAGCACTGCCGTTTCATAATGCCTGGATGGGAACACTTTGAAATCACAGAGCTCGGACATTGGAAAAAACAAGTTTGGCCGACAATCTGAGAGACTGGCGACCGGAGCCATCCACGAAGAACCTGAACCATGGAACAGTTACTGCAAACTGGTCAGCAAACGAACGCCAAACACTGACACACAAAGCCAGGCTAGCTTCAGTCACCTGTTCAATTGAAACCGGTCACAGGCTGAAAGTAAACGCAAACAACTCCTTTTGAGGATGGGACGTGTCATCGCAGGCCTCAACACGTATACAAGCTTAGCAAAGCCACATGAAGGACAAACACCACAGATTCAAACAAAGTTGCAATGATGCAGGACTGCCTTCCTATCGTATCACATGTGTCTGCATAGCCAAACTCATCTGACAAAAGGAAAGCCAAAACCATCAAAACCAACGCAGGTCAAAAATTTGAACTCACATCTTTTTAGCTGGCGCCAAAGTCAAGAACACGCGCAGGCGAACCAATCCAACGCCTTTTGCGGCGGCCGTCCTCGGAGCCATTCCAGACATCAGCAGCTGGAGTCGGTAGGCTTGGCTGACGGTAAACAGGGGCCTCCAGCCAGAGCAACTGCACATTGTTTCGGTTTTGCAACCAGTGGTCAGACTTCAAAGCCGTCAGGTTGGATGCCCCCAAGTCAAATGTTGCAACCACTGCCCTGGAACAAAAGGAGTACTTGTAGCTGTAAACATTGGTGGCCGATCGGGCACCCTTGACAATTTTGGGGCGCCCCTGCAAAACCTCTCGATTCCGCTTGAGAAAGTAAGCATCACCAACTCCATCCAATATGACTCCAGCGTGCTGGCCTCTGTCAAAGTCAGCTAAGTCCATCTGCTCGCTGTCTTCCACTGTGATCTCCAAAAAGCTTGGCAAGTTCAAACAGCCCGCAATGCGTTTGAGTATGTCCACTGCAAGCATGGACTTCCCCAGGCGAGTGCCGCCAACAATGGCAAGGATTGGTCTGCGGAAGCGTGCTGCGCCGTCATGGCAGGCAATGAACTCCTGGACAGTTGCTTCGCTTAAACATTGCACACCCCCACCAAAACCCTGCTATCTGCTATCTTTCATCCGTTTAAACACCCCAGCCTCCACCACATCAAAGGTCTTCATGGGCAAAATGGCTTGTTGCAGTTCACCTGTGGCAGCATCCACTGCTTCCTGCACTCGCAAGTCATGCTCAAACCTTTCCGCGGCGCGGCAATCTGCCAAACGCTTCTGGAAACCCACTGTCACCTGGGCCGCCAAACGCAAATAGACATGCCGCTCAAGCTTCCCGGCCTTCAGCAAGTTGTCCAACCACCATCCTTCCACGCCATAAGCTTGGAAAGGTGGCCAATCACTGAAGTTGAACCTGCAAGTCCAGCTGTCGCCCATTCTCATAATCTGGAAATGTCACACTTCTGCCCGTCTATTAGGAACTTTGGGGTCCACAAAACTGCATTTCTGTACCCAAACCTGCTAGGCTCTGATGCATTTGAGGTTTTCTGAGGTTTTTTGAGGTTTTGCTTGCGACTCCCGTTTCCAATACGTTTTGAGGTTCTCAATCGATTGATGAGGTTTTTTGAGGTTCTGGTTTTGAAGCCTTCTGCCATACTATTTCCGGTTTTGAGGTTGGTTGGGGACTCGGGCCGCTATAATACTATTCTCAAGGTAACCCAATGTCCGCGGCCATTTACAACCAACCAATGACCCCACGCAAACCCTTTAGAATTTTAGTCCGGCACTTTTCCCAAGTCACTGCCAAGAAGCAAGGAGCCTTTCTTGTCACAAACCACGTAGAAGTGGCCAAACCGCACAGCACCAATGTAGGCCTTCCCAGATGCCCTGTTGGGCTCCACGTGAGGCGATGAGCCTTCAAACTTGAACATGTCCAAGGCGTCAGCCCCACGACGGTGGAATGGCTTGGACAGATGCAAGTAGGCATGCAAATGAACTCGCTCAGGTGATGCCCGCTCCATGGTGGCAGAGACGCCAATCACAGACAAAGATGCTCGCAAAGAAGCCAAAAAGACTTTGAACCGTTCAAACAAAGCTTCAAGTTCTACGAAGTCCTGGGACACAAACGCAGCTGCTGAAGAATTGTACGTCAACTGCACGGCTTGAAATTTGTAGGTTGTTGGACTTGCCAAAGGCTGCGGAGGACCCTCCGGGTTTGGCACTGCTGCTTCAAAAGTCGCTTGGTACTTTTGCATGCTATTGTTCACTGCCTCCACATCGGCAGGAAGAAGGTCACGGGCCAGGACATCTGCTGCAAGCGATTCCACTTTGGCTCGGGCAGCATTGTCAGCGACTGGTTGCAGGCCACACTTGCGTGCGACACGGTTCAACACTCTCACACACAGCGCCCTCTCCGGGCGCCGACCTTGGGTCATTGCTGGGGTACGTATTGTTTGGGCTACGCAAAATGAGCCAGAAACCTGCTGCAATGCGGCAATGCTTTGCTCGGAAAAACGGCAAATGAGTCTCGCTCCTTTCCCTCTCTCTTCTGCGCTGTTTCTTTCTCTCTCGCTTTCTTTCTGTGTCTTTTTTGCTTGTCGTCGCTGAGCTCAGGGCAGACGAGCCGGATCGTTGAAGTCCATGAAACCTCGGTAGGGCAACTGTCACGCTGGAAAAATGCGCTAACAAACCTAGACCTGGGCAACTCAAAGACAAAAAGATGTTTCAAATTCAGTCTGTGCATCAATTCCATGACCGTCATGACAATGTCTCACTGCACAAGCTGCTTGCTCCTAGCCTAAAGAAGCTTTTACCAGACTTGTGGAAAACTGATGAGATCCAGACCCTGGCAACTCGCTTTCCTCAATCACGCTCTCGCTCTGATAAAGCAGCCGTGAAATCCCTGTGTATTCCATAGGGTGAGTTGCGCACAGGTTTTGGTAGCATACAAGATCAGCGTGCACGACCCCAAGTTTAGAAGTCCAACTTCCGACAATATGGAAAAATGCTGTTGATCAGCCAGTCAAGAGATAGAGAGTCAAGAAATGCGCATGTGCGCATTTTCAGGGCAGACCTGCACCGGGGAACAAAAAGTGACAATTCACTACAAAAAGCTGTTACAGGATCTGCCAAGACACCAAAAATCCATCGCTACAAAATGCTACGCTGTTCTTTATGTGATGAGTACGTGAGCGACGAAGCGTAGGAAGGGAGGAAATGAGGAGCGCCAAAACCAATGGTTAAACGGGAACCCAAAAGAAATCCATCCAATGAAAATGAAAAATCCAAACACAGAGCCAGACCATCGAATCAATGGAGATGAGTGTGAAATCTGAAAATCACTGACCACAAAGGATAACAGCACGACAAATAACAATGAACCAGTTTCGTACAATCTGCAAGTTCAAGAAAGATACATCGAAGAGACAACCAAGTCAAAGCTGAAAACGACTAACATCCAAATCTGTACCGCCATCCAATGAGCAACATCTCAGCCATCCACCCATGGCATTGAACACCGGCCTCAGGAAGACTGGCACAAAATAACTCCACGATGACGCTCGTCCACCGTTCCGAGTACACCAAACAAGACATGCACACTGGTCCTGCTCTTCAGCGCAAATTCCTCAAAAAGCTGGTAGAAAGGTGGTCAAAAAAACGGCTGGCCGATTCCAAACCAGCTTTTGTCCATTGTTGGTTTGAAAGACATGTTGTAAAACATCACAAACTCTGCTGTCTTCGCTCACCTACTCACACACAGCCCTTCTTTTGCTGTTTACACCACTGCCTCTGCACAGCTCAGCAAACAAGAACGCGGTTCCAAGACCGCGAGCATGCCAAGGGCAGCTTGCAATCTGTGCCACCGCAACTGTAGCTTCCTATCTGCTGCAGACTATATCACTGGCTTACCTGGACGACCTCTACGCTATCCACTTGTCAGAAATGAATCTTGAAACAACAGAGATCAACCACCAAAGCCATTCAACCTGAGCCAGATGTTCCTCACTCGGCCTTTTCCCCAGGGCCTTGACCTGCAAGGCCACGATATGAAAAGCAAGAACGTGGGTGAAAATGCAGAATGGAAGGGCTGTCAGCGGGGAATTCAAAATGAAACAAGACCGAGGCTTCTACTTCATCTTCCAGTAATGCATTAGCCGCAACCAGTCCTAAAAGACAGCCGGTCAACCACCTGGCCTGCAAGTCCACGCACGTCTTGGCCTTCCTGCACCTACAGCAACAAAGGTAATCAAAGTTACATGTGATCATCTGAAGCTTTCCCTCCGCAATACGTGAATCTACCCAGCCTGGTCTGGCACAGGCACCGGAGGAGCCGCCTGAGTCAGCACAGACGGCACAATGCATAGCAAGGCTTCTGAGCTTCTCTGGCCTCTTTCGCTTCGATCAACAACTTCAAATCTTCTTTTGACAGCATCTTGGCTGCCTCACATACCACCAACCCATCAGCCTTGGACGAGTTACCTGACACCAGATACCTTGGAATCTTAGAAGCAAATTCTGAGACAGCGCCACTCCAAAAAATGGAACAACAACACATCAGACAACCAAACTACGTATCTCAAACTTGATACATCAGTGTACACACACCAAGGGGGGACACGAAGAACCTGACAATAAGCAATATAGGGTTAAACGTTGCACTGTTTGCACAAAAGATCGCTCTCGCCGTGAACTGAAAGCTTTCACCTTCAGAAGTTTGCGCAGCGCCTTGACCAAACGGTTCTTGCGCTTGGTTGCATTCCTTGCTTCTTTGCGATTCTGCCGCATGGCTTTGCGCACGTCAGCCTGCTGGCCCTTGAGTTTTTGCAACTCATCTTTCAAGACTTCCTGGCCGGTAATGCGGACCCCAAAATGGAGCCCATTTTGGACTCACAATTCTGAAGCCCCCAAGCAGGGCCTCCCCGGTAGTCCAAAGGCTTCGTGGCGAGCTTCTCTGCCAAACGAATTGTGAGAGCCCTTGCCACCTGCAGGAGGACATCGTCCACTCTGGCAATTTGCCCGCGCAACCACAGTTCACAGGCTACACTCAGCAAGATGCGTGCAAACTTTCTTGGACGGCAGTCAAAGACAACGTGAATCTTGCCTGTAGCCATAACGGTGGGAGAGCTCCAAGGTTTTCGGGTATGCAAAAAGGGTTTCCGTTGGATTGGACATTAGAAATCAGGATTGCTAGCTTATCAGCTGCACTCGCGATCTCATCTTCAGAGGGATCTTCAGCTGCATCAGGTATGGGTGGGCACCATGCAACTGTAGGGTCTTCTGGATCACTCTCGTCATCGGTAGAGGCTGCTTTCTCAATCGGAGGAGAGGTCATTCACTGTGTCTTCTGCACTCTCGGGGCTTGCGAGTTTCATAGACTCTGGATCAATCTGGCGATCCAATGTGTCCAAGAGGTCCGATTGCAACCGATGAGCACCGAAATAATGAATACCCGGTATTACGACGAGTTGCCGATCCTGTATACCCACGTGAAAGAAGACCTTGTGGCCTCGATGTCGATGAACAAGTGCTGGAGACCCATTATAGGCTGCACACAGCCAGAGAGGAGATCTGCAACCATCAGCAGCATAACCATACAAGTATTTCCGATCGATCGAGCAGGGGGAAAAAACTGCTGCGTCAGCACATGGTCACGTGTGCGAGACTCTAGCGCTGCAAGGACATCAAGGGGAAGACGTAACTTATCTCTGCATGCCAGAACCAACCGATATCGTCGCCACGCTCGCGTGTCATTGATGGTCACAATCATGGCAATAGCAAGAGGGAGTTTATGGAAGTATAAACTCCCGTTGATACGGTGAACATGTGCTACGTTCCCCTGACAACTTGATATGGCATGTGGAATTTGGTTACAACAATGTCTTCTTTGTGCACAGCTCTGGATTTGCTGCAGAATGGTGGAATAACATCTGGGAACGATGTATTTTTCGTTGTTTTCTGGACTTTGCATGGTAATGCAAAGTATTTGGTGATGATGTTTATGGACAAGAAGGTCAAACGTTGTTTTCGAAACTCACTTGCTGCATGCGCGGCATTTGCAAGTGAATTTGGACGGTTGTGGTGCAACTTTATTTTTTCCTGGATGTGCATGTCGTTTGTCAACAACAACAAACCAATTTATTTTTCTGCCAAACTGCGTTTTGCATTTTTCTGGAAGCTGCATGATGTTTTTGGAGAAGTTTGTGAACGAGGAGAACGTTTTTGGAGTTTGAAGTTATTTGAGAATGTTTTGGAAATGGTGATGAATTCAACCAACATGAATTCATCAATGTGAAGCTGAATGTTTTTGGTGCGTTTGGAATCTGTGTGATTCCGCTGCCATGTTCAAGACGGGACAAGTGCAAGAAGACCAACATAGCACAGTGCATGCTGCATGAACAGCAAACTTACTTTGCTCTCGTCGTTTCCTGTGTGGAAAAGAGTTGAGCGACTGGTGCAGTGAGAGCCGTTGTTTTGGGGTTTTGTGTTTTTGTTTAAACACTCGACGTGGCGGAGGCCGACCCCATTGCGTGCGTTTGCGACTAGTGGTTGTAATTAGGTCTGTTTGAAATTTCGCATGGTAGCGGAGCGGTTGTGCTCCACGCGTAGTGTAATTAGACGCGATGTTGCCAGGAAATAGCCAGGGACAAGGACCAAGTAACCAGACTAGTGCGCTAGGAATGAATTCACTGCACTTAGGCTCAGGATCACCCATCATGAATAGGATGGAAGGTGGAGGAGAACCAGGAGCAGAACGAAACACAGGTGCTGCAGGTAATTCGCCCACAGGTACTGCGATGCAAGCGAACGCGCAACAGGCAGCAGTAGGAATGGGAAACAACGCAGACACCAGCTCAGAACTTAGTTGCTGCCGGAAGCTCAGTTGGTAGTGGTGCTCACATTCTCCCTGCACAGAACGTTTTTGGATCTTATGGACCTATGAGAGGTGGATTGATGGACCCTCGAAATTATGGACAGAACCAAGGTTATCTTGGAGGTCAAGGTCATGGATGTGGTAGTTGCAATGCATGTCAAGGGTATCCAGGTCAAGGTTTGCATGGACAAGGTCTGTTTGGACAAGGTCAGTTCGGACAAGGTCAAGGTGGACAAGGTCTGACAGGACAAGGTCTGATGGGACAAGGTCTGCATGGACAAGGGATGCCAGGACAAGGTTGCATGGGAACTGCATGCCAAAATGCCCAAGCTAGCACAGGCAGGAGTCAAGAACCAAATCAGGGGAATGTAAGTTATGGGATGCCATGGATGTCAGGTCAATGCGGAGGTGCTGCATGTCAAGGACAGGTTGGGTCAGGACAGAATGCAGGCATGTGCATGGGACAGGACATTGGCGGAGTAACACCCCAAAATCAAAGACTGCAAGATGTGCTGAGGCTGATGGGAGGTTTGGAACCAATGCAGTTGTTGCAAGTAAGACAAG